TGTTTTTCATTTACTTGTATAATATCAGATTCACTTTGTAGCATAGATAACCATTGGTATTGATGACATTAATGTGTACATGTAGTTTCAAGTCTTAGCTAGCCAGCCTGAGGTCACTGGCTAAGGCAATGTGTCTATCCTCTGTGTACAGCCATGTGTATATGTAATAGCACATAGGCAGTCACGATGAGCTCATATAATATCAGATTCACATTGTAGCATAGACAACCATTGGTATTCATGACATTAATGTGTAGATGTAGTTTTAAGTCTAAGCTAGAAAGCCTGAGGTAACTGGCTCAGGCAACGGGTCTATCCTCTGTGTACAGCCATGTGTATATGTATTAGCACATAAGTAGTCAGGATGAGCTCACATAATATCAGATTCACTTTGTAGCATAGATAACCAATGGTATTGATGACATTAATGTGTACATTTAGTTTCAAGTCTTAGCTAGCAAGCCTGAGGTCACTTGCTAAGGCAATGGGTCTATCCTCTGTGTACAGCCATGTGTATATGTATTAGCACATAAGCAGTCACGATGAGCTCATATAATATCAGATTCACTTTGTAGCATAGATAACCATTGGTATTGATGACATTAATGTTTACATGTAGTTTAAAGTCTTAGCTAGCAAGCCTGAGGTCACTGGCTAAGGCAGTGGGTCAATTCTTTATATACAGCTATGTGTATATGCATAGACTTAGCTTAAATGACATCAGTATGTCTTTACACAACAATATGACTTCTATAGGTCCTGCTTGCTGCATTTGTCCTCCATTCTTTAGCTTGTTCCATCAAGAGAAGCAGGGACAATGTTTATAGCACCTTTAATGTCTGATTTGCTTCTGGACCACGCCCACTCCATTTCTATATTGGTTTCTATGGCGAGTGACAGCAAAAGTGTTTCCTTTCTTTACAGATGCTTTATGACGCTTATACCTTCTTGAGATATGTCTTTGGACTCCCCTAAAATGGAACTGTTAGAATCTGGTAGCCATTTTTCGAGCGCTTCATGTATGAGTGATATAGCAAGCCTACTTTTTAGTGTAACTACATAGCTACTGTTTCTTGGTCTTAGATTCACTAGCTAACAGCTTAAATCTTTAGATAAAGTAACAAGAATGTTAGATACAGCCCAGAATTACTTTTCTTTGCACACAAAACAAGTTTAGAAAATTTTAAACACATAGAGTGACACACGGGCGAGTATACAGACGCCCACGCACGCGTATTACTTAGTAGTAAAATTCAAATTGAAGGAAGCCAGCTGGCTGCTTGTTTATTTGCAAGAGAAGATCAGACAGTTAAAGGTGAGATGTGGTACCTCTTAGTACTCTCAGTTTACACTAAACAGTTAGGTCACATGTTACCATGTGATTTTTTGTGTAAACAAACTGTTATCTTAACCACAAAGGCTCATGTCCAGCAATGAGTGGACGCGGATTAGTATACTGAGCAATTATCTCCGTATACTACTGGTTGACTTTATACAGGGCAGGAATGGACATTTCCATTTACTAGGCTATATCTTTCTTCAGAATAAGTCTCATCAATTTGCGCACTTCAGTAGCTGTTCTCCATAATTATACCTGTGTTCCTGCTAAATATGACAGCACTTGGAGTAACTTTGTGTGGAACATTTGCAGATTAAAGATGAGGCAGTCAGTGCCGCCATTTTGTCATTCCTTTATGTATGTATGATAATTTTTTACTCTTTGAATGGTTATATCTAAATTTCAAACAATTTTTGACAAATTGCGCACTTATTTTGTGAAAGTACAACATTTTTACTGCCCAATCATGCAAAAAAGATAAAGAAATTCAAAACTTTGTTCGGTACTTTAGTCTTCTAAAGGTGAAATAATTTTAGTTGTCTCAGTGATAACGGGTGCAGCAACAAGAGTGAACAAGTGCTTTTCTCTTCTCACAGGAATAATAAAGTAAAACTAAGAGTGCTTAACAGCTATACAAGCAAATCATGTCTCTAGATCCTTTTAAAGTAATAACAAGAAGGCCTTTTGTTAGTGGATGAGTCTTCTTGCGCCACGCCTGCCAC